CTATCACAAAATATCTGTCATCATCTAAGCAAAGGTGTCAAACATGTGGCCAATAACACCATCAAGTGTGGCCCAAACCAGATTAAAATGCAATTGGGAAATATTTAACCAAAAAAAAAAAAATCAGTTAATTTTAAAAAAGAAATCTAAAAACCTGTATGGTTTTTTAAGTGAATGTGCAGGGACAGCTAGGTGGTGCAGTGGGTAGAACAACGGCCCAGAAGTCAGGAGGACCTGAGTTCAAATCTGGTCTCAGACCAAACACTCGATATTTACTAGCTGTGTGACCCTGGGCAAGTCATTTAACCCCAATTGTCTAAAAATTTTAAAAAAAGAAAATTGAGAACTTTTGGGCAGCTAGGTGGCGCAGTGGATAGAGCACCGGCCCTGAATTCAGGAGGACCTGAGTTCAAATCCGGCCTCAGACCCAACACTTGACACGTACCAGCTGTGTGACCTTGGGCAAGTCACTTAACCCCGATTGCCTCACTAAAATAATAATAATAATAAACTAAGTGAATGTGCAGCCTTCGTGACTTTTCACGGACAGTGGAAAGCCTCTATTTCTATTTGAGTGTGACATCACTGATCTAGAGCACTAGTTCAACCAACATCCATGATCTCTTCCTCATCTGATCTTGCAGCACTACACACTCCTTTCCTGTACTGCCTTTTGCCAATATGGAAGGCAGGTAGGGACCTGCTCCACATAATGGTAATCCAGCAGTGAGAGCTACCCTGGCCTCGCCAGGTGCTGACATCCACAATGGTCCGTGGCTCCCACGAGCAGCAAACTATCAGATGTTGTGGTTCAGTTGCTCACTCATGTCCAACTGGGGTCTTCTTAGAAAAGATACTGGTTTGCCATTTCCTTCTCCAGTGGATTGAGGCAAAACAGAGGTTAAATGAGCTGCCCAGGGCACACAGATAATGAATGTCTGAGCTAGATCTGAACTCAGGTCTTTCTGATTCCAGGCCCAGCACTCTATCCACTGAGACACCTAACTGCCTGTATTTGTAGTTACAGCTTGAAAAGTCAGGAATTACTCATTACTCTGACAGCATCAACAAATCTGATCTCATAGTCCTTGGAACTACTCTTAGGCCCTTATGTCTGAAAAGCAGAGTAGGACAGAGGACAGAGAACTGGATTTAGCAGTCAGGATCCTACATTAAACTCTCAGCTATAATACTCAAGAGATACATGAATATGGGTTAACAGTTGAACCCCTCTGAACCCTCATTACCTTCTCTGTAAAATGAGTATACATTTGGAGTATCAAGCAAGTATGCTACCGAATAGTGTTACTGCTAGGAAAGCCCTTTGTGAAACTTAAACAGAGTTGTATGAATTTGAATTTCTTCTTGTACTGGCACATTAATTGGGGTGAGGGGGGGAATTCCCTCCACTAATCCAGATTACAACCACTCTATGCTTCTTTATACTGTTTTATGAGTTGCTCTGGCCAAAAAATGTTTTTTTAAAATTTTGGTGGCTAATCTGCTGACGGCCATGTGCTTCTCTGAACTTAGGCTGGTTCTCAGGTGACAGGCTATCTGTTGCTAAGCCTGTCCTGGAAGCCTTTCTACCTAGCTAAGCCATGCTAGAAATTGAATGTGGTTGGCACAGGCTTCAGAAAATCACAAGTTAGGTCCACACTGATGAAATCATGAACTTTTCGAAGTACTGACAACTGAAGCCCCTCCTCTATGATGCTATTTTATAATGACATACACATCTTATCTTTCCTGAGGGCAGAGGCCTTGTCTTCTTTACAGCTGAATTATACAGAGTGGGTTCTGTAGGACAAGGCAGGCTTAATAAATATCTGTAGCTGAATATATGAAGGAAATAATTTGGTCCTTATAACAAGCCAAGGAAGATACAAATGAGTTATGATATATATTTGATATATATGAATTATTTTATGTGTAGGTGAATGTACATATGCTATAAAAGAGTCTCAAATCAGTGGAGTGGTTTACCCTTAGCTATATGCATATTAAGTGACAAAGTCAGACCTTTCAAGCTGTAAGTTCAGAGTTCTTAGAGTTAGAACTTAAGCATCTCTTCTAACTTCTTCAATTACTTAAACTCAATAGTCAAGGTAAGGAAATGAGTTATCTCCCCAAAACTTCAGCTGCAGGCTACAACAGAGAACAGTCACACTGCCAGAGGGCAAATGCGCCAATTTTATTAAAGCTCTGGATCCTAGCACCAAACAGAGACTGGAGTCAAGAGGAACTAAGTACTGATGCCAATACAGGCCAATTCAAAACACAAGTCACATTCACGTTCATACAAATCAGATTTAGGAAGTAGTATAGCTGCATGACAACACGCAGAGGCAACTAGGTAACTCAGGGACAGAGAACTGGGCCTAGAGTCAGGAAGACCTGAGTTCAAATATAGCCTCAGACACTTATTAGTTGTGTGACCCTGGGCAAGTCACTTAACCTCTGTTTGCCTTAATCCACTGGAGAAGGAAATGGAAAACCACTCCAGTATCTTTGCCAAGAAACCTCTAGACAGGATCATGAAGAGTTAGACACGACCGAGCGACTAAACAATAGCATATGACAACCATTACTAAACTTTCCATTTCTAGTGAAAGCCCTAGATGGCTTTTCTGAGATCACAAAGGAAATCATGAATTCACATTTTTCACGACCAGCAAGAATGACAACCATGCAAAGACTAAAACAGCAGCACTAATTTCAATCCTTCTCTTGGCTCCCTCTAAGCACCAAATGCGAGTTGCCTTGAGGAGACCAACATTAACAGCCAAGGGTGCAACCTCACCTCCAAGTCACTGAGCCCTCACTCCAGGACTAGGCCAGAGGCCTCAATAAGGTTGTTGGCGCAGCAGAGCCAATGCAGCTAAGTGCTGGTGGTTCTAAGAGCAGCTGGCACCGAGAGGCCCTTTAGGCTTACAAGGCACTTTTTATAACAACCTGAAAGGAATGGACAACAAGAAATATTTGTCCTGAGCTCCAGAAGCTGCTCAAAGAGGTAAGTGGCATGCCCATGGTCATACAGCTAGCTTAATAGAGGCTGGATCTAAGTTCAAGTCTCTGCAGGAGAATTCTGGGTTCTTTGGACTATACTTATACTTGTATACATCTTAACAAATCACTAAAGGTCTATCAATTACAAGATTAAAAACTGTAACAATTCTTTGGGACCATTTATTTATTATGACAGTGTCCAGTAGGAGCCCAACTTTGATGAAATTCTTCATTTTAGCAAAGAATACCTTAATTTGGCTCATTTATAATATTGCACAATATTATTTAAAATCAGTAAAAAATTCTCTATCGTGGTCCCTGCATATAAAACATCTATATTCAAAGACCAAAATAAAATAACCTGTTCTATGAGAAAAATTCAAGAACGCTCATGAGAAATAAAAGATGTCTTTAAAATATGTTTTCACAACCAGTAGAAGAAAAGCAATCTGTAAATGCATTAGCCAAAGCAAGTAACAGGGCAGCTAGGTGGTACAGGGAATAGAGCACTCAGCTTGGAATCAGGAACACTTGTCCTCTTGAGTTCAAATCCAGCCTCAGACCTTACTAGCTGTGTGACTCCGGGCAAGTCACTTCACCCTATTTGCTTCATTCAGTTTCCTCATCTGTAAAAAGAGCTGGAGAAGAAAATGGCAAACCACTCTGGGATCTTTGACAAGGAACTCTAAATGGGGTCACAGGGAGTCAGACACAATTGAAACAACTGAACAACAACAACAACAACAGACTGAACACCTAAAACATACCGCTACTGATACACTCGTTGCTATTCTTTCAGGGATATAATAAATTGGAAGTCTGCCAATGTAGTGAATAGACTTTTACCAGTACCTACTACTAACTCACATTTAAACAGTAGTTTACACTGACATTTACGGAGCTTTTTAAAGTTTACAAAATGCTATTACTTCATTCGATCCTTATAACCCTGTGACATAGATTCTATTATTATTTTAATTTTCCAGATGAGGAAACTGAGTCTCAGAGAGGTTGAATAACTTACTTACCCCAGATCACAATGAGAATATCAGAGGAGAGATTCAAACCCAGGTCTTCCTGACACCAAGTCAAGCACCCTACCCACTGAACCACACCACTGTACCCAGTAACACTTATACTTTTCTCGCAGTAGGTAGTGCAAGTATTATCACTCCCATTCCCACTCCATTGTGCTGTCTCTCCTCTGCTCTGATCCCAACCAGCTGTGTGACCCTGGGTGAGTCACAACCTCCTAAGGCTGCAGGCAATACTCTAAGACTATCTGCTGCAGAGAGGGTGCTACCCTGCACTGGTGGAAAGATTTTCCTCACCCAGGAGTTCACTCATTAATAAAATCATATTCTACACCCAATCCCCATCCTGTCCCTGTAGTAGCTGGAGTCCATACCAGTGCAGCTGCTGGCACAAACATAATTCCTGCAGCTCCATTAATCGACGGCCAAAAAAATCATGGCAAGTCTCTGTGACCAATTATTTCCAACTGGTCCTCGATGTACAAGACACAAAAAGCTTAAATTTCCAGACAAGTCAGACCTCTTGGGCAGATGGTGAGTGTGACTATGGGTATATGGGAAGGGCAGAGGAGGTACGTAATGGAACACATCTGAAGCCTTGGGCTCCAGACTGGCTCTGTGCCATAATGCTTTGGGCCCAAAGGTCCTCATCCTCATCTTCGTCTATAAAACAAGGGAGTCAACCTAGACTGTCACTTAGGTGTCCAGGGAGGGCAGGAGGAAGCAAGGTGGAGTGAAGCAGGAGTGGGGATATGTCTATAACAGCTGACTCCTCTTCCCTTAAAAACTTGGAAGATGAGCAAATAGGAAGCAGAGCCGAAGCAAAGGAATCCTGCAGAGTCGGATGAAGCTTTCTAGCAGCATTCTTTTTTACTGCTGTGATAAAAGGGGTGGCTAAGACTTCACAGTCCAGGGTCATCACGTTAAAAAAGAAAATGCCAACAGGAGAATACTTACAAGAGTTATGTCGACGACGGAAGCTTCTGGACTGATTCAGAGATTCCATGTGCCTGTCCACATAGCTCTTTGAGCATGGCTGCTGTGGTGAAATGGCAGCATCCTGGGTCTTCATCTCTGCTCTCTTGGGGATATTCTGGGGGGCACTGGAGGACGTGGACTTCTTGAGCAGTCTGCCTGTGCCATTCTGATTAATTCCCACTTGACAGCCAACACCAGGTAGGCCTAATTCTGTCTGTTGTGGGTCTCCACATTGCTGGCTGTCCCCAGAACCTGGTATCTCCAGAATCTTCAACTCAGTTATGTCACCTGCCCTGAAACAGACAAAATTGAGTCCCAATCTCAAAACCAAAATTCTGGTAAATAGCAATGAAAAGCAATGCTATTATTGATCATTTAGGTCACTGAGGTATGAGAGCAAAAGAACTAAGGAAAGTTGTCAGGGTCTTCAGAAACAGGACTCATCCTGAAATATAATATTCAGCTGAAATACCATACCCTTTTGGAAGGAGAAAGCTCATTTGTTGATTTACAGCTATTTTAAAAGCAGAGCAGAAAAGATAAACCCAAGTAAAATGTCATAGGCCACATTTAAAATTCTCAAATTCATTTAACAAATACTTAGTGAACACCTGCTATGTGCACAGCCTTGTGCTAGGCCTAGTGGAGTGCATACAGGAGGACAAGGTGTGCCCCCTACTGATCACCAAAGACCTCATGAGCTAGTTCAGAGGCCCTTTGGCTTTTCAATTCCTCCACATGGCAATCACCACTAGAAGAATAGCAAAGGGATTGTGTTCTGAGCCAGAGGTGACAAACTGGCAGCACAGAGGCGGGATGAGCAGACAGCAGCTCAGAGCAGATGGGAAGAAGGCGTACCAGAAGTCTGACCATTCAGAACACTGGAAAAGTCTCAGGAGAGGGATAGCACTGGACAAATAGGAAAGGCAGGCATTATGACCAAAGAAAGAAATCATTTTCAAATTTGGGGCCTACAGATTGCACCCACTCTTCCTTCAGAGTTCCACTTTCTAATACTGCCGTTCACACAAACTCTGGGAGCAGAAGGAGTGTAGCTGTTGTGATATAGCTCTGTAATGGTATCACTAGCAGACTTACCATGTGTTCTAGCACACCTCTATCCTCACAAAGGCTAGATTTAATGTCCAGGGATATATACAGAGAACAGACACACACTGAAACCCCAGGAGAGGCTGGCTGATGGAGGGTGAGGCTGGTTATGCTACTGGAGATGGAAACAATTCTGACTTTCCAAAAGTTAGTACAATCATTCTGTTTTAAGGATGACTACATAAAAATAAAATTTATTAGTGTATTAATAGCTCATACCTTAATACAAATTACAAAGGGCAAAAAACATAATGTATTTTTTAAAGTTATAATATATCCACAGACTGAAATGAATATAAAAAATGTATAATGTGAGTTCTGGGGGGTGGGGGTGTCTACCATAAAAAATGTATACAAATTATTTTTTAAAAAAAATCAAAAACTAGTGCACAGGGACACTGCCTTATTTGAAAAAAGGATCTCGGTAACATGACTGAATGTCAGAGCTCTGAAATGTTTTCTCCTGTATTCTGGTTCAAATTCCTTTCCTTGTTAAGATAAATACATGGATTTGAAGTATTTATGGAATATACAGTTCTATCCTTTTGCCTGAATATTAGTTCCAATAAATCCAAATTGAAGGAAAAAACAACAACAACAAACCACCTCGAGATCGCTCATCAGAGGAAAGAGCAGAGGCCCAGGAGTGCTAACGGCCACAGTCACAGTTCGTGTGCCAGCTATGCTCCAGCAAAGGGCAAAGAGGTGCATGGGGTGGCAATATCTAGTGTAGAGATCTACTGGAAAACAGATGCCAATCAACTGAATGGGAATTCCTGACCAATTTAGAAGAACATGCACCTCCTCACTTCTGTGTTCTCCAAGTTATCCATGCTCAAGACCTTGGAGTCATCTTTGATTCTTCTTTCTCCCCTTTCTCTCCCATCACCAAGTCCAAGTGATCTACCTGCAAAATATTCTTTCCCTTTCCCACTGAAACTACTGGAATTCAGGCCCTTGTAACTGCTCACCTAGACTATTATAACTTCCTATCTGATATTTTTGCTTCCAGCCCTTCCTCTCACCCTTCTCATAGCTACCAAAGTAGCTATGCACAGGTTTGCCCATGTCACTGCCCTACTCAAATATCCTGAGTGGCCCCCTAGTGCCAAACAAATAAAATACTAATTCCTTAGTCTAGCATTAAAAGCCCTCTACGATCTGACTCTCACCTATCTTTCCAGACCCACTTCACACTAGAATTCTTCACACCTTAGATACTTTAGTCAAACTGGTTTTCCAATGTCATCATCTTCTCCAGTACAAGTGCCTTTATACACACCAGCCCCTATCCTTGGAACAGAGGTCTTTGTGTGTACACGTTTATACACGTTTCAGGCCTGTCCTGGACTCTAAGCTCCGTCCCTGAGGTCAAAAACCATTGTTACCACTTAGCACTGTATCCTGATCACTTCGCATAAAAGTACAGTTAATCAGAAAAAAGATGAACTGGGAGGCAGGGGACGGGGGCTTGCCAATGACGATCAGGATACCTTTAAGCCACCTTCAGTCCCCTCATCTCTGGTCTCTATCATTCTCTTAGCATCTATCTGTGATAAATGATTAATTGAACCCCTATTTTATTCCAATTATTTATTTATTCATTCAGTATTAATCAAGTTTGATATGATTCCATAGGAGTAGTGATTATAAATTCTGATAGTAGGCCTCAGAGCTGTGAACTGAAGATTGTAAGTTCACTTGCTTTTAATCACAGAAGCTAACTACAGACCCTCCACCCTTGTTTTTCCTTGTTACGGTGATCAAGTTCAGTGTGCTCAGCGGAGGTGACTCAATTACATGGAAAGATGCTCCCCCACTGCTATTTTTGTTGCCCCTCTATCCCACACCATCTCTCTACTGCCCCACATGGTGAGATGACCAAGAGCACATGGTCAATGAGTGACCCTGGCTGCCAGTCTGCGGCCTGTCTTTCTACCAACCTATGAGTATGCTCATCAACTCTGGTAGGACCTCTGGAAAGGTCAAGGTAAGTCTGTTAAGGTCTGTTCACTAGCCATATGTCAACCAATGGGATTTTGTATTTTGTGTAGACCTTCCTGGAGGATCTCGGGCAAGGCCTATCCATCAGACTCTGTATTTTTGGCCTGCTCCACCTATATTGTCCAGGTATCAAGCACTATATAACTAAGACCTTGGAAGAAGTGGGCATCTCAGATCGTAAGGAGGATCTGAGGTCTATTTCACTGGAGGGCGCCATGGACTTTTTCATAAAGTGCCACTGGCTCAGAGCTCTGCCTCAGTGTTTTCTTCCTGCAGACTGGACAATTTTGAAAATCCCCACATATCTCACTTGGTAACCTCATCAGCTCCTAGGGCCTGCAAAGGCTTCCCAGGTTCTCTGACCTCTCTCATGACCTTCAATCTTGAATCACCAACGGCCTTTCGGTCATCTTGAATTGGATGGTCCACAGGCATCTCAGACTCAACATATCCCAAATCTTTCCCTTCAAAGCCCTCCACTCCTCCCAACTTTCCTTTCTTTGTAGGGCAGCACAATCCTTCCAGTAACACAGGCTTACAACCTCAGCATCATCTTTAACTCCTCACTCATCCTCACCCCACATGTTGAATCTTGGCCTGTCAACCTTTATAACATCCCGCACATATGCCCCCTTCTCTACTCACACCACCACCATCATAGTGCAGCCCTTACCACCTCACACCTGGTCTACTATACTGGCCTTCTCCTTGGTGTCTCCCACTCATGTCTTTCCCCATTCCAATCCAATCTCCACTTACCTACCAAAGTGATTTTCCTGAAGTGCTGGGCCAATTATGCCACCCCTCCTCCTCCTCAACAAACACCTGAAGCTTCTTATTACTTCCGGTCAAACACAAAATTCCGTCTGGTCTTCACAATCTGGCCCTTTCTACCTTTCCAATCTTCTTTCGATTTACTCCCCTCCATGTCCTCTATGATTCAGCCACACTGGCCTCTTGGCTGTTGCTCACACTTGACACTTGTCTCCCAACTGCAGGCCTTTTCACGGGCTGTCCTCCAGACTTGGAGCGCTCTCCCTTTTCACCTCTGCCTCTCGGCTTCTTTCAAGACTCAGCTCAAATCTCACCTTCTGCAGGCAGCTTTTCCCACCAGCCCAACCCCTTTACCCTAGTGCTTTCACTCTGAGATTTTCTTCTATTTACACTGTATCTTCCTGTCTTGGTATCTCCAAAACTTAGCACAGTGCCTGGTACATAGTAGGTATGACCAAGAAAGGGAGGCAGAAAAGTAGACTTGTAAAGATACTCACCTAAAGGTGACTTCTGGCACTAAACACTTCACTCCATTGTGGAAAGGCCGGGTCAAGGATATGGTCTGGCTGACCTGGTCCACCGCCGATACTCTTCCCTGATAGACTCCCAGGCTGTCCCCACAGTTGATGGATACAATGCTGCCCAACCAATCTGAAGCCATGTTTTTGATATGGGATCGCTGTAACAAAGAAGGGACAAAGTAATGGGTCAAGCATGTTCCAGAAGGCTGGACACTGGACAAATGCTAACTTTTAATAAACAGGCCCCTCCATACCTTTAAGGGAGCTAACTGAACATCAGAAGTCATCATTAAAATATCTGGTTTTGTCTTTTTCTCAAGCGGCACATACAAATAGTCGAAAAACCTTGAACTTAAAAATCAGAAGGAGACCTTGGTTCTCACTTGCTCTGTTACTAGCTTGATATGTAACCACAGGCAAGTAATTTTATCTTTTTAGGCCTCAGTTTCCTCATTTGTAAAACGAAGGGGGTGGACTAGATCAGAGGTGTCAAACACATGGCCATAGGGCTGCATGCAGCCCACTACACTTGAAAGTGAAGTTCAAACCAGATTACAATGTAACTAGGAAATTTCCACAAAGTCCAGAAATATTTTGGTTCTTTTATGGGAAGTTTTTAAACTGCCGTTTAATGCAATCTCTATATGTATTTACATAAGAAATTAAACACAAGAACAATACATTTGATACTAAACAAATGTTTGTTATATGGATAATTACAAGAGAAATGTCAGGAACTCAAAGGCTGGTTTGGCACTTCCCAACAAGAACAGAAATGGGGTGAAAGATAATCTCACTGTTTAAATCATTATTTTGGAGGAGTCTGTATAAAGAAAATATAGAAAAATAGTAAGAAAATGAGTCTAACAACTCTAAAAACCTCCAGTGACACAACTACCATAAAGCAAGTGAAAAGGGCTCTAGCCAAGGCCAGTAATATGTTGGCTTGTTCCAGTCACCTATACTAAGTAATTATAATGCCCAATCTTGGCCTTGGAGAAGAGATGAGGAAAGCATCTTCTTCCTTTCATTTGAGGTAGGAAACTAGAAGTAGAAGATGCTGCCAAAGGTAATTACTTCGTCAGCTGATTTTGTTTAACTACTTTTACTACAAACGCATGTCAGGAAATGACTATGATAGGAAAATAAAATACATAAATACAACTTCCTGAAAATTCTAATGTTAACAAAATGCTAGAGGGCTGCTCAATCTTTGCTTCGGAGCATAAGGGATTTCATCAGATAGGACAGAGAGAACCCCAAGCATGAGAACAGTGCTCTTCAGCAGCTTCTCTGACCAAGCAAGTGCCAAGAGTTCTTAAAAGGAGAGAAACTGAAGTGCAAGAAATGGCAGCACGCAACTCTTTGTGCTGAAAGGGACCTTAAAAATAATCTAATCAAGCCTCTCACTTTAAGGTGAGGAAACAGAGCCTTTGTGGGAGGGCTGAAGTGAGCAGCCTCCACTGGAGTCCAAACTCTCTCAGGCCAATGCTCCTGAGGATACAGCCTCCAGAACGTACAGTGGGTCTTAGGCCCAAAAATGCTACACAAGGAGTTTATAGTGATGGTCTGAGATACTTTGATAGAAAGTAGAAGGAATACACGCCAGACATATCTCATTCCCTACTAAGCTGTTTTGTTTTCAAGGAACAAAAGCTAAGATTTCCTGTTATTATTTGTGGTCTATCATACTCCTGCCCACCTCCCACCCCCACTCTCTTGACAAGTTTATTTTGACATTTCCATAGCCAAAATCATGGCACAATATAAAAGGAGAAGCAGCAAGTACTTAATGAATTCTAGTATAGTGAAATAAAAAGAGGAAGAACACTCAGGAAATTCAAAAATGGAAGAAAAATGCAAGGTTTTCATTTTTCAATAGAAAATCTTTTTTTGTAACCTTTTAAAGTGTTAAATGTTTTTTTTCATTTGCACAATGAAAATTGTTTTTATGTGGAGTAAATAACTCTAACATTGAAATCTTCTTATTTTGTGGAAAGCAAAAAGCTTTTCCTCCAAATATGAAGGCAAATACCTCACTCTACCCTGTTATTTGGCTTCTTTTCCCTGTCCCTAATTCTCTAATTTCTCTTAAGAAAAAGTCAACTTGGAGCAGCTAGGTGGCATAGTGGATAGAGCTCCAGCCTTGGAGTCAGGAGGCCCTGAGTTCAAATCCAGCCTCAGACACTTGACACTTACTAGCTGCGTGACCCTCGGCAAGTCACTTAACCCTGATTGCCTCACCAAGAAGAAAAAAAAAAACAAAAAGTCAACTCATTTACCCCCAAAGAAAGAACTGAAGAGCTCTGAGTGTAGATTGAGGTGTACTTTTTTCACTGTCTTTTTCTTGCCTTTTTGTGTTTCCTTTGCAACATGGCTAATATTGAAATATGTTTTACACGACTTTACATCTACAATTAATGTCACTTGGCTTGAGGGGTAGGAGGGAGAGAATTTGGAACTCAAAATTTTTTTAAAAAATGACTGTTAAAAACATTTAAAAATGTAATTGAGAAGTATTTAATGAAATAAATAAAAATAAACATTTTCTTAAAAAAAAATTAAAAACAAGCCACCTCAAAACCTGACCAACCTAGGCAGATTTTAGTGGAATTTTTTTTTATCATCCTTTCAAATGTCCACATTAAGATCTCTGCTAAAGCATTTCCTTTTCTACAAATCCCTGTTTCTAATGCTTCAGTCAATTTAACAAGCATTTATTAAGCACCTACCATATACCAGTCACCATGGTAAGCACTAAAGATACATAGATTGTGAGGTCTTGGAGAGCAGGGACTGTTTTTGCTTCGTGCCCCCATAACTTGGGGAGATATGATGAATCACAATTAGTCCAATTCCCTCATTTTACAAAGGATAATGGAGGTCCATAGAGACTAAATGACTCTAGTCACTTAATCCCTCCACCAGTCTCTGTGGTCAGTCAGTCAGCAATCTAGCATTTATCAAGGGCCACCTTGACTGACTCCACTCCTCCGGTGTCAATCTGGCAATGTGCTGCCATTGCCCCTGTGCCCATCCCCTGTGTCCCCCATCCCCCCTTCCCCCACTACCCTAGTTAAAACACTCAGGCTCCACAGGATGCAATGTATCACAACAGGCTGTTCCGGAAGAGCACCCTGAGGTAAACTCAGGGAGGACAAAGAACATGCAACTACCCTCCTTATTTCAGCTCCTCTCTGCTCTATTCCACAGTGACAGACTTGCCTTCTTCTAACTCTGGCCACTTGGCTCCTATTGCCAGGTACTGTTCTAGCCACTGCTGGTGACACTCCAACCTAAACTCTTACTGGGAAGATAAGGACAAACACAAATCACTACCACACCGGGCACTCAATGTAGGACCTGTATCATACAAATGGCATTAACTGTAAATGCTACAGGAATCAAGAAGAAAGAGCCCTGTAAACTCCAGGAGTCATAACAGGCTGAAGACAGAGAGTAGGTGGATTTCAGCTTGAAGACCAAGTAGATTTGGGAGGAGGCTCAAATTCCAAGGTAGGGAAGAAACATGAGCAAACCTGGAGGTGGGAAATAGAAAAACTAGGCCCATGTTACTTGGTAAAGTATTATTAAGACTTCACTCTACAAGGTAGCTGTATTCACCTCTTGTACACACAAGTGGAGGGACAGAGGCCATTAATTCATCATAAACCTTGCAAGGGACAGAGTAAGGTCTTAGTCCTAACACTGATAAGTTCTACACACAAACTCAAAACTGACAAGAGAGGATCTGAGTATAAATTAAACATGGCAAGAAATCATACCCTCAATCATGCAGTACTGTATCCACTGATGAAACAAAACAAAGCACATGGAATACTTTGTTGTTTATTTTAAAGCAGTCACATTCCTTTCCAATCTAAAACACAACTTCAAAGACTACAAAGTACTCAGAGTCCTAACCCTACTTTTTAGCTTAAGTAATTTCAGAAATGATGCTATGTTATAAACACTAACAGAACCTGCAAACTGGGGAGAGGACAGGACCTGAGGGTGGAGACCCATAGTACTTGTGCAGTCCACACAGAAAGAACATACAAGAGACAAATTTGTTTCATCACAACTAGGACAAATGTCTGACCATATGACTTTCATGCTCAAAAACCTTCAGGGGCTCCCACTGCCCAAAGGGAAAAAAAGCACAAACTGCCAGTCAGGCATTTATGCCCTCCAGAGTCTTGCTCCCACCTGCCTTCTCAGCTTTATTTTGTCCCTTTGAGGAACTCTACACTCTAGCCAAACCAGTGCTGCTTCCTTCACGTGACCCTTCCTCTCTTCTGTGCATTCCTGCCTCAGAATCTGACTGTCTCCAAGACTCTGTGCCACTTCCTCATGAAGCCTTCCATGATGCCTCAGCTCCCAGGATTCCCTTGCCCCCTCAATTTTCCACTACACTTACTTGTGTACACACTGGAAGGTAGAACATAAGCTTGGTGAGGGAAGGGGCAGTTTCATTGTCTCGAACATACTAGGCGGTTCAGGTTTATTGAACTGAATAAGCAGCAATATAATTAGCTGCACCATCTTGAATTACAAAGGACTACAGAGGGACCAAATAGAGATTTGCTCCTGTATATGTAATATATAGTACATAGTGGTCTTCTTTGGAAAAGTCACGTATTTTCCACTCATCTAGGAATGTTTCTCTAGCTAATAAGATAAAGATGACATAGTGAATCTCATTACTTCAAGTTTCACGGATTCACAAACTGTAAAAACTATCTCATAATCCACTGTTGGACAGCTGATTATTAGGAAATCCCTCCTTACAATGAGCTGATAACTGCCTCTGATAGACTCAGATGCTTTAGAAATGGAATGGACTTTAGAAATGGCTTAGTTCAACCCCCTGATTTTGGAGAGTCCTCCCTACTCTAAGTCCCACAGTCCTCCCAAAATTCTAAGGGCCATAATTACAACTCTGCCCCCACCTAAAGGAAACCTCATTCTTGCTTCAAACTGAGAAAATCCTCTATTAAGGAACTAACTTTAACAATGCTTAAAGCCATACTTCATAAAACAGGTATCTTTTAAGTTTGCTTTAAATTTCATAATAGCGAAAACAGGCTATAGAGATATCTACACTCTTGTGTCTGATTTCCTTCTTACCGTGCATATGAGACTGCTAGCCAGTTAGTGGTGCAGTATATTGCTGTGGAATAAAGCAAAGCTAAATGGAAAATTAACTGGCAAAACTCTGGTCTGATTAATATCAATCACCAACACGATCAAATAGTGTCCAGTTTAGTCATAACTTTAATACTAGAACAAGTTTCCTAAGAAAGCTGGAACCATGTCTTCCATAATTTATGAGTAAACTATTTCACTACTGAGGGGATAATATGGAATAATACACCCAAAACACCAAGGAGCCGAACAAGAATCTTAGAACAGAGCAAAACTTTGGAGATGTTTCATCAGTACAAGGTCAGGGAGGAAGGCGGTAGGAAATCTGTCTGGGGAGGAGGGGTATCAGAGGGAGCAGTCCCAGCCCCTCCCCCACCCATCCACAGGTGTTAGTAATATCACAAGCAACTTCTCCCCTCCTGGGAACGTGACCAGCCTAGGTGCACGAACCTATCACCTCCTCGATGAAGGAGCCATTATGAAAGGGGGAGGGGAGCGCGTGGCACAGGGTTAGAGACCCCAAGGCCCTTGAGGATCTCTGGTTCTCGTTCCAGACTCCAGGCCCCCCACAAGCAACGCTGCTCAGCCCACGGGGGGCACGGGCTGCTCAGGCTGGAAGGTACGACACAGAGAGAAACTTCGCGGCCCAAGCCCCTCCCTCACTTGGGAGAAGAGGGCACTGACGGTCTGAGAGGGGCAGCCGCCCGCCCAGGTCTCGCAGAAGGACCCCGCTCGGAGCCCAAGTCTCGGGTGCTGCGGGCCCCCCCCCTCCCGAGGCCCGCGGGCGGGAGGGAGGCTGGTTTGGGTCAGTACGGGCGGGTCGCTCCCGCGTGGCCCGCCTGAGGTCCAGCCGCCGGGCTGGGCCGGGCCGGGCCTGGGGCCCGGGCGGGAGGAGCCCGCAGGGCAGGGAAGGAGGGAGGGCGGGAGGGAGGGCGAGCGGAGAGGACCGCTGCCTCCGCACCGCCCCACACACTTACAGACCCCAACGCCGCCGCCGCCCGCCGCCGGCCGGAAGTGCCCGGGCGTCCTCACGCCGACGTCGTGCCGTCACATCCGCCCCGTCGCCGGGGCAACCGGGGCCAACGGCTGCCGGGAGCGGCGGGGCAGCCGGCGTGGGCGGGGCCGGACGGGCGCAGTGGATGCGAGTCCTTCCCCTCTGGGCGACTCCAGCCTCTACCTGCCTCAGTTTTCTCACCCATTAAATGGGCACAATAACCTCCCAGAGTAGTCGTGGGGACCGAAGGAGAGACTCTTTTTAAAGGGCTCAGCAGCCCCTAAAGTGCTCCCTGAGCGATGGAAACGGGGGTGGGCGTGATCGTCGATGTGGGGAAGGAAAAGGAGGTAGAGGGATTTCGGGCCTGGGCCGTAGGACCAGAGAGGTAGAGGCGGCAGGGACCTAAAAGGGCCCTGAGTTCCAATCTAGCCTCGGGTTGGGGGTTGAGGGGATGGTTGGTGGATTTTATTCTCTACAGAGCCTCCCGCCCTTCCCCATTCCACTTTGTGACAGCTCTAATGGCCACTAGGTTTTGTGCTTGCATCAATTCTAAATGATAAATAGATATGTGATATATATATATATATATATATACATATTATCTAAATGATAGACGGATGGATAATATATATAAAATATGCACAAATGCTCATTGCCCCTAGTTGTGCTCTCTGGAGCCAAGCAGACCAAATCCCATCAGTCTCTCTTCCATGTGACGGCCCTTCAAATACTTGGAGATTGCTATTATTCAGTATAGTCGGCTGTGCTATCCCCGCCTCATACCCTTTCCTATGCTACTGACAAGTCTAAGAGCTGTGATAAACATGGTGAAGTACACAGAGTCAAGAAGACTCACCTGGAGGAGTTCAATTCCTGCCTCCTACACCCCTGGGTGAGTCACTTCACCCTTTTGCCTCAGTTTCTCATCTGTAAAATGAGCTGGAGAAGGGAATGGCCAACCATCGGAGCGTCTATGCCAAGAAAATCCCAAATGGAGTCATGGAGAGTCAGGAAGTGACTGAAAAGACTAAACAACCTGAACAAGGTGAGCCTTTATACTTGAGTTTTCAAGGTTCCTGTTTCTTTTGCCTGCCAGTAGGATATGATCTTGATCTGTAGAAAGGAACATTCAGTTAGGAAGAATCAGTCTTAGAAACTCCACTAACTCTAAAGTTCAAAGAGTTAGGAAGTATTTTTGGTCATTTTCTCTATTCCTCCTCCTCCAGGACTGGGATTCTGAGAGCCTAAAAAGGGAATCACGAAGACTAAAGGTTTTTTGGGTTTGGTTTTGGTTTTTCCACCTAGGCACAAGAGAGGCTTCTCATTCAACTTTCCCAGAAAGCCTAATCACTTTAGTCAGGCCTGGACCCACTCATCTAGAGAGAAGCCTGGGTTACTTCTCCCCCATTCATTCTCGGGAGAAGTGGACAAACCATTTCCCTCCCTTCTCTAAAACCTCACTAATGTCTCTCCTTATCTCGGGTTGGATGAGGTCACACATGCCATTTAGTCCAACCTCTACCTGATCAAGGGTCCTTCTATATCAGGCCTAACAAGTAGATCGCAAGCCTGTGCTTGAATATTTCTAATGAGGCCGAACACACTCCATCCCCACTCAAACTGTTGTCTCCTTTGTTCCTTTTTGGGTAGCCATAGTGGTGAGGAAATTTTTCTTTATAGCTGCCTTAACTTATTTCTTTGCAGTTTCTACCCACTGCTGCTAGTTCTGCCTTTTAGGGAAAAGAAAAGTCAAATCCTTATTCCCTGAGATAGCCCCTTCCAATACTCTAAGATAGCTATCATGCCCCACCCCTCCCTCAGTCTTTTATATCCTAAAAAACCCCTAATTCCTTCAATCTATCCTCATATGGCATGATCATTTTTTAAAAAAATTTATTATTTTAAACATTCTTTTTTTTTTTAAATTTTGAGTTTCAAATTGTCTCCCTCCTACCTTCTCTACTACCAGTGAAAGGGCAATCACTATGATATCAATTATATGTGTGAAATCATGCAAACTTTTCCATGTCAGACATCACAAAAGAAGAAGAAAAAAAAAAGAAAGCAAGAAAATTATACTTCAATTTGCCTCAGAGGTCATCAGTTCTCTTTCTGGAGGTAGATAATATTTTTTTTTTTATCACAAGTCCTCTGGAATTGTCCTGGATCAAAGCAGCCAACTTTTTCAAAGCTGATCATCATTACAACATATGGTATGACCTTTGTGAGAAATTAATACTTCTTATATTTAATAACTAATTATTGTATTAGGGCCAAGGTTTTTTCCTCTTTTCTGCTTCCTGATCCAGAAATCAACCAGTGTGGGAAATCCCTCACAAAGAATTACCCAGGCCAAAATCCAATCAGACAGTAAAAGAAATTATAAGTTTGGGCTAATAGGTGTATTCTTGCCCATTGTGTTTGCACAGACAGGTCTGGGGAAAGATTGAGTCTCCCTATGATCAAGACAGGTGATATGGAAATTGATGTCTTTTTGACCAAGATTTGAGTGACCTAAAGTCACATACCCCAAGACCATCATTTAATATAGCCCCCACCTCCCATTGTGTTAACCAATCAGAGCTGATTAGGCATCCCTCAGGAACACCAATTCTTCAAAGGGCATATAAACAGTGAGCCCACCGCCATGAGGGATCTTTGGTCTAAGAGAGACAGACAAATGCCATTCTTTTATCATTTTTAAATTTTTATTGTTATAATAAATTTATTATTTTATTCATCACACGTTAAAAGCACTTTACTCTCCTAGGAATCTGGACACTCGTTGGCTTATTGTACATCCAACGTGGTGTCAGTATTGCAGACACAGTTTGGCCAGGATCTCATCTCCATCTGCCTCCAGTAATTCAGGGTACTAGCCCACTGGTCATTGACGTTGAGCTTGCAGTCACCAAAGCCCTCAGATCTTTCTCATACAGACTCTGTCTAGTCATGTCTTTCCCTATCTTGTGTTTGTGAAATTGATTTTTGAACCCAAATGAATTTAAATTTGTCTCTATTACATTTTAAGAACTTTTTGAATCCTCAATCAGTCATTCATTGTTAACTATTCCTCCTAGCTTTGTGCCCTCTGTAAATTTCCTAAACATGCCATCTATTCCTTTATCAAAGTCACCAATAAAAAAAATGTAAGAAACAGCCATGATCCAGTAGAAAGAACTCTGACTCTGGAGTCAGAGGACCTGGGTTCAAATTCTGTTTCTGACTCTGGCTTTGTGACTATGGGCAAATCATTTCAGTTTCCAGGACTTGAATTTTATCATCTGTAAAAGTAGAGAATTAGATGAAATTAAATGGTCGCTGTGGTCTCTTCCAACTCCGTGTCCCCATGGCTAGCTACTCCCCAAACCCTTCACTGATTAGTCTCTTTAAAGACTGGGTAGGGGACAGCTAGGTGGCGCAGTGGATAGAGCACTGGCCCTGGAGTCAGGAGGACCTGAGTTCAAATCCAGCCTCAGACCAAACACTTGACACTTACTAGCTGTGTGACCCTGGGCAAGTCACTTAACCCCAATTGCCTAAAAATAAATAAATATCAAAGACTGGGTATACACCACCCATCCTCCTTGCCTTATGCAAAGTTTGTATGCAGCTGTCTCTCGCTGAAATTTCACATGACAATTTAAAACTTAGAATTCAATTCAACAAACATTAATTATTGAGTATCTACGCGAGGTACTGTTAGGTGCTGGGATACAAAAACAAAAATGGAGTTTACAGCCTACTGGGGAGGTACAACATGAAATAAATAACACACACACACACACACACACAGAATAATTTTGGAGAGGGAGTCAGGAAAAGCCTCTTGAAGGAGGCTCTACTTGAGCGGAGCCCTGAAGGGAGCAAGCCTTCCACAAGCATGGGGGTCTGGGGATCAGCCTGGGCAAATGCACTAAAGCAGGAGCTGGAATGCTGTGTCCTGGGAATAGAAGATAGGCCAGTTTGGCTTAGACTATAAAGTTCGTGAGGGAGATATGGCATAATCAACTTGGGAAGGCCATCTGGAGCCAGGTCATGAAGGGTTTTAAATGTCAAAGGAACAAGTTCCTGAATTGTCATGAATTCACTTTAAGTAAATATATCTGCCTTTAAAAAACAAACTCACCTACAGGATTTAGGGTTCTCTGCTGCCATATTGTTTCCACCTATTCGACTCACCTACTTCCAACAGCTATAGGGCCTACTTCCTGATGTTGTGTATGTTTCAGCTAAATCAGGCCACTAGCAGCTATCTAGCCATGTGATCATCACTTTGCTAAGGGTTCATGTATATTTCATATGCTCGTGGCCTTTAATAGAGACTGGGTACCAGCTTAAACAAAACATTAGGTCATCATAGCTATAGGCACAATTCAATAATTTGCAGATCTTGGTTAGATGGTACATACTTGCAGACTTCAGGGCTAATCTAAGAACAGACATTTTAGACCTTGGATTTCTTTTCTTTCCCCCCAAGGCAATTGGGGTTAAGCCCAGGGCCACACAGCTAGTAAGTGTCAAGTGGCTGGTCTGAGACCAGATTTGAACTCAGGTCCTTTTTGACTCCAAGGTTGGTGCTCTATCCACTTCGCCACCTAGCTACCTCTAGACCTTGGGTTTCTGTGTTGCTATTGAAGACTCATCTTCATGAGTTCAAATCTGGCCTCAGACACTTACTAGCTGTGTGACCGTGGGCAAGTCACTTACCCCGTTTGCCTCAGTTTCCTTATCTCTGAAATGAACTCGAGAAGGAGATGGCAAAACATTCCAGTATCTTTGCCAAGAAAACTCCAAATGGGGTCATGAAGGACACGACTGAATAATAACAATAACATCAATCTCCACCAATAGGTGGAGAGTGACTCTGTTACCTGGCTTAGGGAAGATAGATCATAGGACTTAGAGCAGAAAGAGACCAGAGGAACACAGTTTTAGAGCCCAAAAAGATTACAGAGGTTGTCTAATCCAATCACCTCATTATACAGTTGAGAAAACTAAATAAAGCCCAGAAATG